TGTGTGAGTGCGTGTGTGTGTGTCTGTGTGTGTGTGTATGAGTGTGTGAGTGTAAGTGTGTGTGTCTGTATGTGTGTGTGTGTGTCTGTGTGTGTATGCGAGAGTGTCTGTGTGAGTGTGCATTGCCGGGTGCTGCTTCTCCTCTGTCGGCCCTCAATGGGAAAAAAAGTTTGAGCTGAGCCGCAGTTCACCACCCACCCTCAAACCCGGGCGGGCTCCCGGCTCCGGGCTCCGGTCCCGGGGAGAGCGGCAGGAGTTGGTGCCGCTTTTGGCGGAGGGAGCTGCCGCCCTGAGCCCACAGTCAGAGCGGGACAATCCCGCACAGTGACTCCCGGCCACAGTCCGGAAGCCGGGCCCAGGTGGTCCTGTTGTCGGGGGCGGTGATGTTCCGGAGTATAAACGGCTGCCCAGGGGTTGGCACACGGAGCTGGCCTGGGGCAGAGACAAGCGGCCCCCTGTACACCCGGACAAAGAGGGGGAGGGGATAGCAGGAGCCGCAGACAGAACCACGTCCACGCTGATATGTTACACAGAGCAGAATTCCTGCAGTGTCGGCAGTGAGCAAACTCAGGCACAGGAGACCCTGCTTCGCTCCCGCTGCTTCTGGAACAGAATAACTGACCGAGAGCGCCGGGCACACACACACACATAAACACAGACACGCACACACATGCACACACACACACATAAACACAGACACACACACATGCACACACACAGACATAAACACAGACACACACACATGCACACACAGACACACACGCATAAACACACACATATAAACACACAAACACATAAACACAGACATACGTACACATAAACACAGACACGCACACACATGCACACACACAGACATAAACACACACACACAGACACACACGCATAAACACACATATAAACACACACACATATAAACACACACGCACATAAACACAGACATACATACACATAAACACAGACACACATACACACATACATACAGACATAAACACAGACACACTCACGCGCACACACACAAATAAACACACGCACAGAGAAATAAACACACAGACATAAAACACAGAGACACACACAGACATAAAACAGACACACTGACATAAACACACATAGACATAAACACAGACGCGCACACACAGACATAAACAGACACACACATGCATAAGCACAGACACACACACAGGCATAAACACCGATACATACATAAACACCGACATACACACATAGACATAAACACAGACACAGAGACATAAACAGACACACACAGACATTAACACCGACACACGCTCAGACGCACTCAGACGCGCGCACACGCACATATGCAACTAGCGGGCCATAGCAGTGGGCTCGGGACCCGAAGCCTGGCCGCCCTGTTAATAGACCCCCAGCGCTGAGTCAAACAGCCCATTCCCCGCGGCCCCTTATCCATTGAATCCGCCTCATTCTGATACCAGACCGATCGGATCCCTTACCGCGTCCCTATTTACAATTTCAATGTTTTTGACTGGGAACAGGATCTGAAAGGGGGAAATGTGCAAGGCCATTGGGAGAGAGTTCTGGCTGAATTACCCCTCAGAAGGCCAGGCGACATGACAGGCCGATTGGCCACCTCCTGTGGTGTAAGTGTTCTGTGATTCTGCGTATTACACAGACCTGGACTGCACAGGGACCTCGCGAAATAAGCCTGGACTGTACATGATGTTTAGCTACATATGCATGGACTGTATAGTATGCTCCTACACGTATCCAGGCTGTATGGGATGTTTTGCTAAACAGGCCTCGACTGCACAGGACCTCGATATGCAGCCTTTGACATTATAGAACATCCACGGAGGCTTGGCCAGTGCAGGATAAAGCTCCGCGGGCCTGCTTTGTGGAGCAAAGTGCCATACATCTTGTGGGGAGGGTGGGGGGAAGTCTGCTGTATCTACACACTCCTGGACTTCACACTGTCCTGAGAAACCAGTTGTTGTGTAAAAGGTTGCAATGTAAACAGCTGCTGTGGTCTGTAATTCTTTGTAATCCGCTTTTTTTTTAGAAAAAAAAAAGTTAAATTGCCAGGACACTATTCCATTCGTCCATTAAATATGTTGATGTCAGACAGTTACTGAGAAGCGCTAATCCTGTATCGTTGAGGATTCTCACTGAGATAAAACTGGAAAAGTTCAAGAGTGTGGCTGTTCACCACAACGTCATTGACCCTGGGCCATGTGTTCTGTCCCTCTCAATAATCTCTCACCGGGTCACGGTTTTCAGGATCTGTCTCACGGTTTTCAGGATCTGTTTGCTGTGATAATGAAGGTGTACCTGCCCGTGTGCTAACGGGCTGCTGTTGCTGTAACTACTGTGGTAGTGTGAATTGTTTCACGTTAATGTCTGAGAGTATTCAATGCTCAGGTTGTTTCAGGCTCGGGAGTGGACAGCTCCCTGGTGCTGAAAGAATTCGCAGCCACTGGTTCAGGCTCGGGGAAGCTAACGCTTCGCTTTAACAACTCCTGCACTTTTCACTTCACCTGTTTTAATTCCTATGGAACAAAGGGTTGCAGTAAGTAGGAAGCTGTGATTTCAACTGTCCCTTTTCTCTCTCGCAGGGGCAATCTTCGAAGAAAGTGCAGCTAAGGATGATGAGGTTTTCCAACTGGCAGTCTCTGACCTTAGCCTCAATGACGATATCTTACAAAGCGAAAAAATAACATACTCCATCAAATTTGTTGAGGCGAATAATCCTTTTCAGACGGTTCAGGAAGGTAAGTGGAATAGAACGAATGCAACTGAACTCAAAATACCCTTCACCCTTCTGTCCTAGGGTCACACTTTAACTCCCGGCCTTTAAATTGACTTCAACTCGAAGTTGCTCGCTCTCTAGAGAAGCGAGTCCCCCCGGATAAGGTGAGTGGCGAGCTCTTCCTGGAGTCTCTGGGTTCTCTCAAACAGAGCGGGTGCCCGGTGCTAGCCGGTGGTGGGCGCTGTCTGATAAGAAATGAAGGGATTGGGAAACGGAGGCTGCTCTATCGGATTGTAATGCTGCTCCAGAGCCAATGCGCTGGCCTGGGATGCACCTTCCGAGATGCCCATTGAACCAGGCTTGGTCTTGTTTGTGAAATTGGCTGTCGCGGCCTGTAACAGCCGCTGAATTTACTGAAGAGGTAGCGCCTGGCCAGGGATCTGGAACCTGCCGCATTCCTGTATATCTCTCGCCGGAGAGATTGATGCGCTGCTTTCAAAGCAATAACCTTGGTTTTTGTTCAATGCTGCTATTATATTTTAATTTCTAATTATATTTCTATTGTGTCTGTTTCTTATCAGACAAGTGGAAAATTGTGATTTTTTTTGATAATTACACACATATTGCAATGTGTCAGAAATGGTAGTGATAGATTGTGACAAGGAACTGTACACAGGCATCGCACCTCCCCCTGTTCCCACACCCACCCCACGTCATGCACTCAGTTTGGAGTTGTCTCTGAGTGACTGGTCACTAGATTTGCATGTGAGTAATCTGATCAGTATAATGGACAATTGACTAATGGGTAATGTTGGTGCTGAATTCAGTATGAACTTTATTTTAATTGACACTCGAATGACGGTGTTTGCCAATCAGAGAGAAGAGACACGTCCATATTTAGAATACAACAATGATGAAACTTCAGGAACAGATGCTTTCCCCAGACAGTTCCATTGCAAGGGTGACAATGGGCAGTTGCTGATTCATGTTTGAAGAGAATCATGTTTGAAACATTGTCTCGTTTACTGGGATTCACCTGCTAACACATGTCTAATGCAGGAATGTAACTTCATTGGTACAGGCTGGTGATGTCTTTCCTAGTCAACACATCACCAGGATATTCTTGACTGTCAAACAAATGCACAATTTCATCCAAAGCTTCAGCTTCTTCACTGTGTCCCTGAACAGTAAAATTGGTTAATGTAATATTTTGTATCATTTTCAATGTATATTTTTTATAAAACATTTGCTGTTACTTTAAGATGCAGAAGCAGAACGATTAACCTGCTTCTTCACCAGAGAGGGAATGGTTGGTGAGTGTTTGCAATCAGAAAAGCTGGGAATGTGGACAAATAGTATTTGAGGAGCTCTCTTGTTTGCTTGAACTGACTTCTTACTGCTAGTTCTTATTCACTTAGCTTGTTGGAAATATTTCAGTAGCATCTCTGACCAAAGGAACTGATATAAAATTCAGAATTAACTATACATCTCCCACCCATGATATTTATTCATTCATTTCTGTTGTGTGCTTTATTTACAAAAGATGTTTGGGAATAAATTTGCAGTAATCATTTTCTTATAATATTGTCAACTTTCACATGATAATTAAACAATCCAAAGAAACAATTTTGTGCGTCTTTTTCCAGCAGCTTTGTGTGGTTTCCACGTGTTAGTGCAATAGTTGATCCCTGGTTCCAATAATTAAGTAATGGCTGTAGTGAACCTTTGCATTCAACTTGATTTCAGGTCAGCTGAAGTGAAACCAGCAATTTTGACCCTGGACAGTATTTGCACTTGTTTGTGAGATGGGTACAAGAAGTAAATAGGATTTGATGTTGCACTGACTGTGTTTGCTGAAATCTGCCACCTCTTCAGAATGCAGCTCTAATTAGAATCTGTATACATTTCTCAAGGTTCCAAATATTAATGTATATTCACACAAAATGTTAATTTTTCCAATGTCTCTGTAGCTATATTCCTTTATATAGAACTCTGTCTCTTCTTGCACACATATCCATTGCCAGGGTCTTCAGTGACTCCTGATCTTCTAGTTTATCAGATTTTAAAATTTCATTCTTAAATTCCTCTGGGATATTGTTCCACCTTCTTTATCAATCTCCTTCTGCTCTCATTCCCAACTCAGATATTGGTTCCTCTGTCACTCACTCACTCCTCCATTTACCATTTGTGACAGAGCCTACAGTTGCTACATCTCCACATTTCTGTTTCCAAGCTCCAATATTGCTAATTTTCACTCCTTCCTCCAAAGCCTCTCTTTTTTACTTTCCTTTAATCCTTGCCTTTAACATGTTTCCTACTTATTACACAGTATCCCAGTGCTGTTCCTGTAAAACACAGTGGGATGTTTTGTTCTGTGAAATGTTCTTTATAGATGAAAGATATTATTGTCAACAGTGTTCAAAGAATAGCTTCCTATTAAATGCCGTGGATCTCACCTCATTGTTTTGTTTGATAGGTTGTGGTGATTACAATATAATTTCCAGTGGATAATATTGGCTCTGTCTAATGGATTCAGTTGAAGGCAGCAGGATGACGTTTCTGCAGTATTCTTATTGCATTCTGGATGCTGCATTATTTAATGTCACATAAAAGAAGTGATTAAGCAGCTGTTGAAATCACTTGCGTTGGCTACATGAACATGGTCAGGACTAGGCAGGCAATCATTAAGCTTTTACATTTAGTCATATTTGTCTTTTGCAAGGAAAACCATAGGCCAATAACCTTAATACATCCAGCATATCACAGAGAGTGTGACGGTGTCTGCCTACATACATAACAGGTTCCAGAATACTTCGTTCTTTATAAGAAGTTCAAATTTATGTGTTTTTGGTGTCATGGAGATTTTTCCTGTCATATTAAGTTGTAAAATGATTAATCTTATAGCAACTTGGCGATATAGAAAAGAATACTTCATCTAATAATACTAAAAATTCTGCTCTCCCCCATATTTGAAATATATGACACTCTGAAATTATATGTAAACCTGACACTAACTCAGCTCAGTAACCTTGATACCCTTCCTCAACTTAAAGATGTAGCAATCTGTCTTGAAAGCTCAAATGATCCCAGAATCTATAGCTTCCTGAGAGAAAGATTTCCAGATTTCTGAAACCTTTATGTGAAGAAGGCGTCTTGATTCACCTCCTAAATGGCCTAACTATAGGTCTAACATTATGCTGGTGATACTTAATTTTCCTGACAGCTTTAAGCCTAACCCCAATGTATTTGTTGCCTTGGAGATATGCTGAGATAATATGGCAGTTGCTATTTGTGCTTTAAAATGTCTCCTCCCTTGCCACTCCCAAGTTTTAACTGATTGCACAGTGAAAGAAGAGAACAGAGACACATACTCGAACACAATTGAACACCATGTTTATTTTCCCCTTGTAAAGTGAAAGATGCTGTAACAAATGAAATAATGTTAAACAACAAGTTATGTACATTGAGTCATTTCTTACAGTTCAAGTTGTTTATGGTTTTCTCTAAATATAGCGATAATCTTTGAAATATGAAGATCTCTGTTGATGGCACTGAGATTGGCCAACTGGAGGTTGCGGTTCTGTGCGACCAGTTCAGCGTGTGAACGTGTGAGGGACTTGATCACAGACTTGTATCAATGAAAACTATGAAAGGTGAACAAAAGTCAATGACCAGATATAGAGATGGTTAACAATGTAGTCAGCGTTTGATGATCAATATTGAAAGTGAACTTTCTACTATTGACATATATCTACCAAAACTCAGCAGTGTCATTGCTTCTTGATTTCGAGTAGAGCATTTGTACTCAGTTCCTTACAACAGGTGTGAGCATAAGCAATTAGATCTTTGCTCTCTTTGATGTACTGTGACAGCTCCAGGTACATTTCCTGACTCATCTGCTATGATGCATGGTTCTACAAGTAAGTTGAGATGCGTGACGACTGGCAGAGATGCATTTTGCCTACAATGTGTGAAACACTGTTTGCTGTGATATTGTCCATTCTCATTCTACATCTTTGCACTATTGCTTTAGAAGAGGCCCCATGATCACTGTATGCTGAAGACCAATCTGCAATAAAACTGGTTGTACTGAGGAATGGTGTCAACTGTTACACATTAGTTGGGATTGAAAGTATATGAACAACTTTGGCATTGTCATCTTCAGGCTTTAGACCATCTGCTGTTACTCCATGTATGAGCAAGTTCATCTCATTGTCGTCAATGTGCATTTTTCTCTGTTGAGCATCAAATTATATTGTTTGAGTTGAGTGAGCACCCCTGATAATCTCTGACCATGCTCTATTTCATTCCTTCCATGGAGAACATATTATCAAGTAGGTTGAGAATCCCCTAAACATCTGACAAGGCAGAAAAAACAGATCTTTGGGAATACAATGTGTCTGTGGGACATGGTCTACAGCGGGTACTGTAGTACTGAAACTGATCTCTCTGAGGAACCAAAGATATTGGGTTTTCTTCACTAGTAGAGATTGCTTTGTCAACATGTCAAGCTTCATGAAGACTAGAGTCATGAAATAATATTGACAGTGTTTGGATCACAGGAAGTAGATACTTATCTGGGTTGTACTGACCTTAAGGCAGTCAACAAAGAGCAGTTTAGGTTCACTATTTTTGCATCTTGCAACGATTAGGTTTCAGATCCATGGCAATTAGTTAATTCACTCAATGATATAATCTGTTTCAGTTATTTCAGATCCTGTAACACGTCAGCATGGATTGCAAACAGAAATTATCTCAAGTTTTGTGAGACTGGTGAAATTGATGTGTTGGCATGATTATCCCTTAATTTTTTTCAAATTGAGTAAGTAAGGAAGGTTATGTGTGTACACTATGTCATCAGGCCATGTTAAGGATGGCATCCTTGAGTTTTAAAGCTTGAACCCAAGCCTATCAAGGTTTACCCTCGTTAGGCTTCTGCCATTGGCTATATAGAACTTAAAACTTTCTAGGGTGATATTTTTGTAACACTGACAACTGCAGTCATTCCCAAAACTGGAATAA